ATTTAAAGCAAAGAAAAGGTGGTACTGGCGTGTCGACGGTTATTTAGCTTAATGGCGTATCCACTGTAGATCGAGAAGAAATTTGTGCTTTTTTTATCTGAATATTTTGGCTCAGTTTTCGTTGAGCCTGTGATTAGAGTGTATTCTGAGGGGGGCCAACTTTTAAACGCTGCCTTTGTTGAAAATTTGTAATTGTTAGAAGTTGAACAGGCGCTTCATAGTGTTAACATCTCTAAGGGTCCGGGCTCGGATAACATTCCATCAATTTTCTTTCGAGGCTGTTCCAGAGCGCTTTCTTAGCCTTTACAATTCATCTTTAATATGTGCCTGCGTTTTGGTGTCTTTCCTCTACCATGGAAACAAACTAAAATTACCCCAATTTTTAAATCTGGCGACCGCAATAATAACTTATCTTCAAATATTTCTAAATGCCGGGCTATCACTTTTACTAGAAGGAGACAATTATACGTGCCGAACAGGTGTTCTACATCGAGTGAATGCCATTAAAGATCTCAGAGTTCTATTACTAATTTTGGTTATCTATGTGAGCGCATGCTACAGATGTTTGAAGACAACCCACAACTCATCGATAATTTATGGATTAGTGATGAAGCTTATTTCCACTTCAGCGGATATGTTAATAAACATAACTTTCCTTATTGTGCCGCTGAAAACCCTCATCAACTTCACCTTTTTCATCTCACAAGTGCCTATGAATGAGAATACTCATTTCCAACAAGATAGAGCAACTTATCACACAGCTATGGTTACATTGAACTTTCTTAGAGAATTTTTTCCGAACCACCAAATTGGAATATTTATAAGTATTGCCCTCAATGATCGCCAGACCTGTGCTAGAAAGTGCGGATTGAAGATGAAATTCGTGCAATAACGGCAGCGATATTACGACGTGTCAGTGAAAGACTCAGACAATGTGTGTGAAATGATAGTCACTGAAAGCAAAAATGATTTTTTTCCTTTACATAAAATTTCATTTTTTCTCTTAAAATTTCGTCGCCAATAATAATAATAATAATATTTATTGATAGGTAATAAACGAAACACATAAGTACATAGCAATGTATGAAGAAAATACAACTCCAATCAAAAAGAGTCATGTCAGAGCGACCAAAGAAAATCCGAGGTCGTCCTGTTTTTCAATGACTCATCGAAAAAAAAAAGACAACAAATAATAATAATCAAAACAATATAACTATATGATTCAAGTCATAATAATATTTAAATAAATTTTAAATGAATTTTAAATGCGCAAAGTAAGACAGTAATCGTATACAAAAAAGAAAACAAAAAGAGAAAAAAAATTTTTTTTTTAATTCTTCTATTGTTCACTCACCCACCCAAAAACTCCTTAACCATGCCCTTAAAGGAAAGCAGACCAAGATTCTTAATTGAATCTGGTAACCGATTGTACATGTTAGGCACACAATAAGAGAAACTACGTTTAAACATTTCTAGGCGGTGAAGAGGTATCGTCAAGGCATGCCTATGCCTAACATTAATGTGGTGAACATCCGTACGAAATTTAATTTTATTGTACAAATAAGGAGGTCTTTTATGCAAGATAATTTTATGGTAGAGGCACAGGCAGTGAAGAGTTCTACGTCGTGACATATTTTGCCATCCAGCCCACACTAGTGCGTGTGATATACGGTCTCTTCTACGAATACCGTAAATGAATCGCAAGCAAGAGTTTTGAAGTTTTTGAATCTTATCCGAGTGTACACTATCAAGACATGAATGGTAAACAACGTCACCATAATTAAATATAGACAAAAGCAAAGCTGTAGTTTCAATTTTTGGTTTAAGATGTACCTATTATTATAAAGCAACCTTAAAGTAACATAGGCTTTCCGTAGAAGAGACTGAACATGTTCACAGAAACCGAGACGATCATCAATAATAATACCCAAGCTTTTAGCATTGTCCCCGAACACCAGCTCATTATCACCAATCACCAAATGAAGATTGGATTTTACAAACTCTACAGAGGATTTGTCTCCAAAAACCATGGCCGATGACTTGGAAGCGTTTATATGAAGACAGAGTTTAGCGGCAAACTGCACAATCTTATGTAAATCATGATTTATATTTCTTTCCGCTGTCTCATAATTGTATGGATTAAAGGAATAAAGAAGCTGTGTATCATCAGCATATATATATGGTGTACAATAATCAATAGCATCCGCAAAACCAATGGAGGAAAGTAAGTATAAAAGAGGTCCCAAAATAGACCCCTGTGGGACACCAGAAACAAAGGATCCCAGATGTTTGACCATTAAGTACCACTGATTGTTTTCGATTAGATAAGTAACTTTGGATAAATTGGATAGATTCTTCAGATAAACCAATGTAGTGCAGCACGGCCAATAAAGTTTCATGATGAATTCGGTCAAATGCCTTAGAAAAATCCAAAAGAATTAAGATTGTAACTTGTTTATTATCAATAGCCATTATTATGCCAATCTCAGTAGGCAGACTATTGCTACAGGGTTATAGCCTGCACAGTAAACGATTTGTGGTAAATCTCAGTACTATGGGTCGGGAACATAAGCAGAGACTGTAACTGAGACCCTGGTGTTTGATTGTGAAGAACAGTATATAACATTGTCAATATACGAAACTATCTACGGGTCTGACTGCTTAATATCTGTAAATAATTACGGTATGGAGTTATGTGTTGAGATCTCTCGAGATCAAAGATATACCGTATACAGTTGTTTTGAAGTCATTGCAGTTTGTTTCGGAGTGTTACCGAAAGATCAGGATATGCCGTGTCAGCATTATCTATATGGGAGAAAAGAGGAACTGAGAATAACAAAGATTACGACGGACCATGGGAGAAAGGAAGCAACGGAGACTTTTTAGCGAGTGGAAACAATGATAGACCTTTCTGGAAACGGATTAAATTTGAGGTTTCCAGGACATTGTGGAATCCATAACCACCCCAAGGTTTCTAACCGTATTTGACAGCTGAATAATGTCACCGTCAAGCATTACGTGAATGGGTGAAAAATCATTCAGCTTTGCCAGTAAATGTCGACTTCCAACAGGCCCGGTTCTACCGAGCGTGCGAAGCGTGCATGCACGAAGGCGGCCGAATATACAGGGCGGCCGTCCGTCATATGCACAGACGAAATATTAAAAAAAAAACATATTGAAATATTCAGTTTGCGCCATCATACGACGCGACGGAAATTACTCAAACTTCGAATGCCTTCAGGCATCTAGTCGCCGAAAGTAAAACTACACCGTGCTACCAACCATAAATAAAAAAAATTGGTTCTGATTTTTTTGTTGGCAACACTTACCTCTTAAGTAAAATTTGCCGGTCAGCGCCTATACTACTGTTCTGTGGTCAGCGCTAACCTTTAAATCGGTTACGGCTGTGATTAAGTTGGCATCCCAAACCCACAATTGTTTCCCAAATGTTCAATGTATTAATATTTGGTTTATTAACTTAGTTTATTGTGAAAAACCTGCCAATTCGAATGTAAATAAAATTCCTATTTACTTAGACACTAAGTTAACTAAGGTGGATATTATTTCTTAACATAAACATAAAGATCGAAGATGTCAGAAAGGAAGACAAAGCGTGAATCTGGTGCTTTTTATAGAAAGCGTAAAGCGGAAAAAGATAAGCAAGAAGAAAATTTACGAAATTCTATGCTTAAGTTTGTTAAGTTAGATGAAGATAATAATCCAGTTTCGACTTCAGCGAGGAATTTTTCTATCGACGAAGCAACATCTGATAATATTAGTAACATTACTATCCCAACTGATGACATTACCAGTATTAC